CTCTGCCCTGGAGGGAAGGGGTTTTAATCTGCACATAAATAGGGATACAATGTCCATTTAGGAAAAAGGGTTCATACCACATGTAGAAGAGTCTTCCTTTATAGAAACCTCTGCATAAGACTTATTGGAAGAATTGCCTCTTCACTGAAAGTGAGACTCAAAGTTCTCCACATGTGCACACAGGAAAGGGGTGAAAGAACCGGTTCTCTAGGAAAAAACAGTCTCCCTTAAAAATATCTAATCTCCAAGCCCCTGCTTTATATGAATGTGGAATCCAAATTGATACTCCACTTATGATTCAGGAATTCCCAAACCAAGAAATATAACAATTCAAGGTTGATCAAATCACCTGGAACCTTAGGATAAGCAACACAAAATTATTCTCTAGGGAATCTTTAAAAACCAGGATGTAAGGGACAATCATATAAAAAACAATTTGTACTCACTAAAGAGAAGCTCACACAAATCTACACACACACAGACACACAACTAAAAACAGAAGGAAATAAGTGGCCACAGGTAAGAAAGAGCTAACCATGAAACACAGGATGATTAATATTCCAGAGCCTAAAATTATGAAACAATCTAAGAGAAAGCATAAAATAAGTATGACTGAATCATTAAAAGATAAAATGAATCATATATAACATAATGAAAAATCAGGACATCATGAAAAATAAAACATCATTTTTTTAAAGAACTAAACAGAACTTATGGAAACAAAATACAGATAACATTTTGTATATAAAATTCAATGTGTGGATTAAATGAATTTTAACCTTCAATATCTAGGGTGTTCATTAAAATTCAAGAGTAATCTCTAAAGTAATTGTTTAAAAAGAGAATAAAAATAAAGAAGTCAAAATGAAGCATGCAAAATAGGCCAGTCAGCATTCTAAGTTCTTCATCTATTTTATTACTTAATGCTCACAGTCTTTGAAGTGGATAGTACCACTTTTTGTATATGAAGAAAGTGAGTCTCAAAGAGATTACATATCCTGGTTATATGGTTAGCAATGGAGGGAACCAAACCCAGATAGGCTGTCTCTAGATGCCATGTCCTTAACCGTGACTGCAAGGTATAAAACAGGCAGGAGAAAAGCAGAGCAAAGCAAATATAAATCACAAAACAAGATGCCAGAAATAAACCATCATTGCTAATCACAATGTATTTAGATGAAATAAATAATGAGTTAAAAGATTTACAGGTTTCATTTGTTTACCCGAAATAAAGCAAAATTAAAACTTAAAAATGCTTGAAAGCTTAAAACTGTAACAGAAAGAGGTCAAAAATTAGAGCCAGAAAAAGAGACATCTAAGAAATACTCACCAAAAGGAAGGGAAGCCTCCCTCAGGTTCATAGGTACTTGAAACCCACCTTGGTCTGACACTTACCAGCTCTGTGTCTGAGCGAAATACTCAATCAACCGGAACCTTCATTCTCTCACCGGTGAATGTAAGTAACGATCCCTCCCTCCATCCAGCCAATTTGTATTGACTGCTGTGTCCCAGGTACTGGTCAAGCCACCTGAGGTCCTTCAGTGAACAAATAAGGATCCTTGTCCTTGCAGGACTGAGGAGGAGCAGAACATAAACTACGGTCATAACAGTCACGTGAAAGATATGGTATTCTAGAAGGTGATAGAAAGAGTATGATCAGGGAGAGAGGGGTTCTGGGGCAGAGATAAGGGGAAGGCAATTTCCAGTTTAAAATGAGATGGCCAGAGCTGGCCTCACTGAGGACCTTGAGAAGGGGGTACTAGTCATTGGGCTTCCTTTAACACAGCACCACACACTGGGTGACATGAACCACAGAGGCTCACTGTCTCACAGCCCTGGGGGCGGGGAGTCTGCAGGTAGGGTGTCAGCAGGGCTGGTTCCTCCTGAGGGCTGGGAAGGAGAGGCTGGTCCAGGCCTCTCTCCTTGGCTTGGAGACGACTGTCTTCTCTCCACATCTCATCAAGTCATCTCCCATGTACATGTGTCTCTGTGTCAACATTGCCCCATTCTATCAGGACACAATACTGGATTAGGGCCCACCCTAATGACCTCATCTTAACCAATGACATCTGCAACAACCCTATTTCCAAATGAGGTCATGTTCTGTAGTCCTGGGGGCTAGGACTTCAGCTTATGAATTGGACAGAGATGGGCCAGAGCAACAGCCCTGTGGGTACATGTCTGACATCCCCAAGGGACAGCAGGGAGGCCAGTGTGGCTGGAGTGGAGTGAGCCAGGGAGAAAACTGGAGGTGAGGTCAGCTTGGGGAGGGGGAGGAAAGATGTAAGGTCACCATAAGGATTCTCGCTTCTTCACTGAGTGAAATGAGAAGCCATTGC